ACGTTTCAGGGTTTGATTCCCAAAATTCTTGAAGCTTTACTGACACAGATTCAATTTTACTTGTAACAGTTTTTTCATCAGGATTCTTTTCAAACACCGTTTTCAGTAAATCTTCGTTCTTGCTCATTTTTAAATTTCGATTGATTATTATTAAAAAAAATTTATCACTGGGTCACCAAAATGTGGAGCACGTTTATTCGCGTGTGTATAATGATTAAACTTTATTTAGAATGTTTTGCCTTTTATATGATTTGGCTCAAGGGGTTCGTCATACAGGCTGTGACGGCTAACAACGCCACATTGTTATCATTTTCGGATTATAAAATGGTCTTACAACACTTTGAATTCTAGTCATTCAGAAAATCCGACTTTTCGACAATCAAGATCAAATTAACTGTACTTAGATAAAGATAATACAGATGAGTTATATATCATTTTGAGGCTAAATAAACGTGAAATAAAACGCTTTTAATTTTATAAAAATTGAATGAATAGTTTTGAAATTATTCATCTTCAAGTAAATATCCTATATATAGGATGATGGGCATTAATGGGTTAACAAAGTTGAATCGTGAAGTGCATTTTGAAATATTTAAAAATATTTTTTTGGCGCGTTAGAATTAATCCAAATTACAAGTTTTAATTGTTCAAAATTATGATTTCAAGAGCAAATAAATGTTTGAATTTCAACTCATAATGTTAATTCAATTCGAAATTGATTTTATTTAAAAATTAATGGAATATATAATATAATAATTAATAATTATTAGAAAATGAAAAAATGTTTATTAATTTCCAGCAAATACTGTTATTCCGAATTTAGATCCAAATTTCATGAATATTTTACACATTAAAAATGTGCCTAATACTTTTCTCTGTCGAGTATTCATGTTCAATTTTTTCAATTTAGTTCCACATGCTTTATTTGTTAGATTTTTGAGACCAATTGTCTCTATAATCATTGCTTCATACATAAAGGCTTCTTCCTTTGGGAGATTTTCATATGCATTAAATATTATTGGCTGGATGAAACGATCCCATAATGAAAATTTGAAATTTCGTTGAATTTTTGGTGATGGATCTAAACTAGTCGGTGCCAAACGTTCATTAAGAGCTTTTTTAAAATGATCATAAGGACGGTCCTTAAGCCCCTGACAAACATAGAATATAGATGATATGAATTGAAAGAAAAAACGAGGATCAATCAATCCAGAATCAAGTGAAGAATCATTCTTTGGTTGTAAATTAATTACCATTAAAGGATCGATTAAAAAATACACAATTACATTCCTCTTCTCCCACCAACTTGATGAACATTGACTAAGCATTTCTCCTTCTAATCGACGAGCTTCATTAAATGAAAAACTATCAATTTTAAAAATATCAGTCGATATGTTATGTATAGTTTCCAATTGGTGAAGAATATTATCTTCTGACAAATTAGCTGCCGGATATGGATTCAATGTCGCATGTGGTTTTGGAAAAGATGATAACTTTGAAAATCAGAATCATATTTTTTTCTAGAGCGATTATTTGTTGTTTAAGCCTAGCATTTTCTTTTTCTATTGCAAAGAGAAAATTTTAATTATTCAAAAAGAATTTCTTATTAAGTGTAACACAACTTACATAGTGTCCATCTCCTCAAGAGATTCTGATTTTTCAAGTTTTTCATTAAGTCTTGCTATCGTTTTTGTCTATTTCAAATAGAAAATTTTCAATTATTCAAAAAATTCATTAACAATTGGAACACAAACTTACAAATTTTTCACCTTTCGACGAGATTCTTTAAGTTTTTCACTATCATTTTCTCTATTTCAAATAGAAAATTTTCAATTATTTAAAAAAAATTTATTAACGAGTGGAACACAAACTTACAAATTGTGGACCTCGTTACGGGATTCTTCAAGTTTTTCACTATCTTTTCTCTATTGCAAATAAAAATTTTCAATTATTCAAAAAAATTTATTAACGAGTGGAACAAAAACTTACAATTGTTCAATCTCGGCATTAGAATCCTGGGAATCTAAAAACATTTGTTGATATTTATCCAACAGACTTGTATTTTCCTCTTCCAAATGTTGTTGGCTTAATTTCTGTTGTTCTTGTTCTAAATGTTGGGCTTGTTTTAGACTGGATATACGTTTGCCAAGTTTTTCATTTTCTTTTTTGAGATTTTCATTCGCATTTTGTCTATTTCAAATAGAAAATTTTCAATTATTTAAAAAAATTCATTAACAAGTGGAACACAAACTTACAATTTTTCAATCTCGACTTGTGATTCTTGATATTTAATTTTCCAATACATTTTTTCGGTTTCTATTTGCCGTAGATTAGATTGACATTCATTCAAATGTTCTTGAATTCTTTTCATTAGTTCGGATACAAATTTTTTAGACATGTTTATGTTTTGGTCGAAATTTACTGTCAAAACTTACACAAAAAAACAATTTCAAAATAATCGGTCAATGTTGCACGATCAAGTTCTTGAATCAATGTGATAAAATCATCGTGTCGAATGCCAATTTCCCAATCATTTTTATAGTAGTTGCAGTTCTTTTGAATGCCTTTTCTTTAACCTGGAGGGAGTACATTCTCGAGTTGGTTCCATGTTTATTTTCCATGTGCTGCATTTCTTTTCAATTTTATTGATTAAACATAAACATGAAGAATCGAATTGTAAAAAAAAACATTTCTTTTTCAAATTTTGTTATTAGATAAACATAAACATGAGGGTTGTAAGAAAACAATTCATTTTAAAATTTTGTTATTAGATAAACACAAACATTAGGAATCGAATTTCAAAAAAGCATTTCTTTTGCAAATTTTTAGTTAAACAAAAACATTAGGATTCGAATTGTAAAAAGCATATTTTTCCAATTTTTATTCAAACAAAAAAAGGGTTGTAAAAAACGTTTCTTTTCAATTTTTATTTGTTTTGTTTGATTTATGTTTGACCATGGGCGGTGTTTTTTTTATATTATTGGGAGTTTGACATACCACTTTAGAAATTTTTTTGCACATGTCAAAGCGCTATCAAGAAGTTTATGGCCGTTTCAAATTTACACCGATTAACCAATTATTTCGAACCAGGGTTGTAAAAATGCATTTCATTTGCAAATTTTGTTATTAATTAAACATAAACATGAAGAATCGAATTGTAAAAAAAACATTTCTTTTGCAAATTTTGTTATTAGATAAACATAAACATGAGGGTTGTAAGAAAACAATTCATTTTAAAATTTTGTTTTTAGACTTTATTTATTTATATCAAGGAATATTTACATTAAGTTGAATAGCATTACAATGAATCTAAAATTACAATTATAAATATAATAATAATAATAATAATAATTATACATATATGACTGGATCTATCCTGTGCATTCCTGAGAGCTACTCAGATCAATCCTTACGCTCTCCATGGTCCTCTTCAGCACCTGACCCTGGATGTACGCTTGGATCTTCTCTGACAACCCCAGGCTCTCAGCATACTTCCTGAAGTGCCTCGTGACCAGACCATCCCACGTCAGTACAATCGGTACTGTGGTCACTTTACAGCCATACATCGACTTCAATTCGTTGGCCAGCAGTTCATATTTTCGACGTTTCGTCGATTCTGTATTCGGGATGATCCTCTTGTTGGTTATTCCTACTTCCACTAGGACTATCTCGTTCGTCTTCATGTCATGGACCATCAAGTCTGGTTTGTTGTTGGGAATCCTATTGTCGGTTATTACAGGCACATCTGATTTAATACGAACCCTTGTTTTTAGATAAACATAAACATAAGGAATCGAATTTCAAAAAGCGTTTCATTTGCAAATTTTGTTATTAGATAAACATAAACATTAGGGTAGTAAAAAATCGTTTCATTTTAAAATTTTGTTATTAGATAAACACAAACATGAGGAATCGAATTTCCAAAATGCATTTCATTTGCAAATTTTGTTATTAAACATAAACATTAGGGTAGTAAAAAACAATTCATTTTGAAATTCTGTTATTAAACATAAACATTAGGGTAGTAAAAAACAATTCATTTTGAAATTCTGTTATTAAACATAAACATTAGGGTAGTAAAAAAACGTTTCATTTTAAAAATTTTTTTATTAATTAAACATAAAGATTAGGAATCGAATTTCCAAAATGCATTTCATTTGCAAATTTTTTTATTAAACATAAACATTAGAGTCGAATTTCAAAATGCATTTCATTTGCAAATTTTGTTATTAATTAAACATAAACATGAGGGTTGTAAAAACAATTCATTTTAAAATTTTGTTATTAGTTAAACACAAACATTAGGAATCGAATTTCAAAAGTGTTGCATTTTCAAATTTTGTTATTAATTAAACAAGGACATTAGGAATCGAATTTCAAAAGTGTTGCATTTTCAAATTTTGTTATTAATTAAAACAAGGACATTAGTGGAATCAAATTTCAAAAAGCATTTCATTGTATCATGAATAAAGAACAGTGTAAATTACTAGGATTGGAATTATTGCTCTCGAGCTCTCTATCGACAAACTAAATTGATCAACTTGAACGAATTCCCGCTGGTTGTGTATCCAAACCAAAAATCTTCCTTGAAAACCATGTCAGCTCATTGCATCCACATTTTTATCATATCAATGATCCTTTTTTCAACCTTTGTAATTGCTTCGCATCAAGTCTCCTCTGGGTATCCTATCATATGGAGAAAATCAAATCACCATCTGGCCACCCAAGTGGTACAGGCCGAAGTCACAGTAAAACTCCAGAATCCTTGCAACATCGTTGACAATCTAAGGACTAACGTTAAAAATGAAACAACGCATTTCCTACACTCCTACAACTTTGAATCATGCATCAGAGAATATATCAAGCATATTATAAAACCGTTACGACACTTTTGTCCTACGAATATAACCGATTCTGAACACACTATACATAACATTTCGACTGATATTTTTAAAACTAATAGTTTTTCATTTGATGAAGCTCGTCGATTAGAAAGAGAAATGCTTAGTCAATGTTCATCAAGTTGGTTGGAGAAGAGGAATTTAATTGTATATTTTTTAATAGATCCTTCAATGTTAAAAAACTTGCCACCAAAGAAGGATTCTTCACTTGAATCTGAATTGATTGATCCTCATTTTTTCTTTCAATTCATATCATCTATATTCTATGTTGGTTGTGGACTTATTGACCGTCCTGATTCTCATTTTCTTCAAGCTCTTAATGAACGTATGAATCCGACTAATTTAGATCCATCACCAAAAATTCAACGAATATTTTCATTAATGGATCGTTTCATCGAGCCAACAATATATCATGCACAAGAAAATCTCTCAAAGCAAGAATCCTTTATGTATGAAGCAATTATTATAGAGACTATTAGTCTCAAAAATCTAACAAATAAAACATGTGGAAATAATTTGAAAAAATTAAACATGAATACTCGACAGAGAAAAGTATTAGGCACATATTTAATGTGTGAAATATTCAAGAAATATGGATCTAAATTCGGATTAACAGTATTTGCTGGAAATTAATAAACATTTTTTCATTTTCTAATAATTATTAATTATATTATTATATTATATATTCCATTAATTTTAAATAAAATCAATTTCGAATTGAATTAACATTATGAGTTGAAATTCAAACATTTATTTGCTCTTGAAATCATAATTTTGAACAATTAAAACTTGTAATTTGGATCAATTCTAACGCGCCAAAAAATATTTTTAAATATTTCAAAATGCACTTCACGATCCGACTTTGTTAAAATAGGACTGGTCAACTTCTTCAATAGCTTTGGCGATGAAACCTCTGTTGATCGAAGCGAAATAGATTACAAGATGATAGAGAACCAAATTAACAATAAATTCCTTAAAATCATCTCGAAAATGCATCAAGACCAGCTTGACTTGAAACATCAAATGAAGGAAATTACTATCATGAATACCATAAACGTTAAAAATGAAACAACGCATTTCCTACACTCTTATAACTTTGAATCATGCATCAGAGGGTATATCAAGCATATTAAAAAACCGTTACGACACTTTTGTCCTACGAATATAACCGATTCTGAACACACTATACAAAAACGTGGGATCATTAACTTCGTCTACAAAACATTAAAATGGGCCATAAAATAACGACAGCCATAGGATTGGTCAACTTCTTCCGTAACTTCGGCGACGGAACCTCTCTTGAACGAAGCGAAATAGATTACAAGATGGTAGAAAACCAAATTAACAAAAAATTCCTTAAAATAATCTCGAAAATGCATCAAGACCAGCTTGACTTGAAACATCAAATGAAGGAAATTACTATCATGAATACCATAAATAGAAGGTTCGCTGAGATCGAAAACATCACCAAACAAATGTTCCGTCCAGACAATGACCAATTAGCTTGACAACTAAAGAACCTATTTCCGAACATCTCATTGGGTCTGGAAACTCCAGATGAATATCGGACTATGGAATCTTGCCGATTCGTGGAAGAAGAAGGTCTCACTTATGTCGACGATGTTGCACGGATTCTGCAGTTTTACTGTGACTTCGGCCTGTACAACTTGGGTGGCCAGATGGTATTTTGATTTCCTCCAGATAATAGGATACCCAGAGGAGTCAAGATCAAGTGACCAAATATGATGGTGTCAATATTAAAGAGTGGTCATCCTCGGTACGATCAGCATTTCTTACGTGTGGAAAGGAACATTTCTTGCGTAGTGAACTTCCGACTGGCCATCCCGAATACTCTCTTTATCAGAGGTACTTTGGATTAATGAAATTTACATTTCAACCAAAGGTTCGGGATCATGTTGAACATCTGAAAACGGTGTTTCAACTATGGGATTATATGACTCGTTTCGAGAAAGATAATCGGGCTACAGCGGTAAGAAAATATATCAAGCTGGTTGGTACAAAGTATGAAGGTGGCGAACTTCGTCTTTGGCTTGAACAATTGACAGCTCGTTTTGAAGATGTCGAATCGGAGTGGCTACAAAACACTGAAAATTCTCGGTGCACCATCATCATCAGTATGTTACCACGACCAAAGTTCGAACGTCTGGCAGACAGACTGACGTCCAGAGATTCGTTGACAATGAAGGACATAATGAACGCATTCATCGAGGAGGACGAAAAAATGAAAACTGTTTCATCGAAACATGTGAGTAATCAGTCTGTCAATGCCATGAAGAAAAAATTCAACAAGAAATCATCTTCGTCATCAAAACGTAACGATGTGAAGTGTGATTACTGCAAAAGAAATGGTCATACTACTGATGATTGTCATAAACGTTTCTGGGATGAACATCATAAATCATCCACATCATCGTCATCCAGCCAATCAAATTCGAAACCATCGACATCATCATCTTCTGCATCATCAAAGTCATCAAATGCCGCATCTACCAGCAAACATTCGGCTAAGTCCGTTATTCTTAAAAATGTTTGTAACACAATAAGTGATTCATGGATCCTGGATTCAGGATCGACAACACATGTGACATTCAACGAATCAGTGCTGGTTAACGCCAAGTCCAAACGGTGTGAGTTTGAGGCCGCTGGCGGAGAACCAATTATCTCAACAAAAACTGGTGATACTGTGATTCATCCAAATGACAATGAACTTATGCTAAAAAATGTTGCATGTGGTGATTTTAATGCAAACTTGATATCTGTGTCTCAACTTATGAGTGACGGTTATTCTGTGTTTTTTGATGGCCAATCGCCAGATAAAACAGCTTTCATCATCAAAAACCATGACATTAACATTGTGAATCCTATTGTGTCTGCTAATCAATCATCAGGTGTGTGGCTTCTTAAAAATCAACGCAAACAAACATGTTACAATCTGTGGCATTATCGTCTAGGCCATTGCGGCAAAAATATTCTAAATCAAATCGCCAAACAATCATCATGTGTTAAAATTGATAATGACAACTGTGATGCGTGTCTGAAAATAAATCTGTGTCTGTGCCCACATAAACAACCGATGATCTATGATGATGTGAACATTTTGAATTTCTTCATGTTGACTTGTGGAAAGCCCAGTGTTATCAGCGGGTGGAAGTAAATATGGTTTACTTTGTGGTTGATCATCGTACACGTTTCTGTTTCGGTATTTCAATTCCGTCTAAATCTGATGCAACTGAAGCGTTAATTAATTTTATCACTGATCATCAACGTCGATACAAGAAAATGGACGAAAAGTATGTTATATCAGATCTGATTGTGGTAAAGAGTTCGTCAATCATCAAATGGAAGAATTTTGCCTCAGAAAATGGCATCAATCATCAAACTACTGTTGGCTACGCGCCACAGCAAAATGGAATCGTAGAAAGAATGAATAGAACTGTTTTTGGTACTGTTCGTACTCTTCTAAATTCAGCCAACATGGACCACAAATATTGGGCCGAAGCTATGTCTACTGCTATTTATCTGATAAACATTTGGGTTCGTGATTCTGGCTCATCTCCATTTGAATTGTTTTTCGGTCATAAACCATCCTACGATCATTTGCATACGTTTGGATGTGTTGCTTATCATCATCAACCAAAACAAAAACGAACATCGAAACTCGATCCAACTTCGACAAAATTGGTATTCATCGGATATACAAATTCAAAAGTGAATTATCGTCTTCTTGATCCATCTGATGATAAAATAGTGATTACAAATGATGTGAAATTTTGTGAGAATGAGATGTATTTTAAATGTGACTCATCATCATCATCTAATGTCGATCAATCAACATCATCTTCATCTTCTTTCATCAATCCAAGATTTTTACATGATAACAATTTAACAAGTGATAGTGATAGTGATAGTGATAGTGTCATTGACAATACTCATGATTCATCTACAATTCCGATACCAGCTTCATTTTCATCATCATCTTCTTCTACACAAATCAATAACGAATCAACAAGTAATTGTTCTGATGTTGAATCACCATCTTTCGATGATACTTCGACTACTACAAATTCAGATGCAATTGATCATCATATGTTACCACGTAGATCGAATCGAGAGAACAGGGGAGTTCCCCCGAACAGATTTGGTTACAAATGCGTGAATTCATACATCATACCATCAACCTACAATGAAGCTCTAAAATTACCAGATTCGAAACAATGGCTGGATGCTATAAATTGTGAAATTAATCAGTTGCAAAAATATTCTGTGTTTAAGAAAGTGCCATTTGATAAATCTAAGAAGGTGATACCAACGAAATGGATCTTTACTAGAAAACGAACTGGTGCATACAAAGCAAGGCTTGTTGCTTGTGGTTATCGACAGATGTATGGTATTGATTACATGGAAACAGCTTCACCAACACCTGATCGATCTTTGACAAACATATTGCTGGCATGGGCCAAAACATTTAATCATAAAGTACGACAATTAGATGTACGAACGGCATTTTTAAATGCTGAATTATCTGAACCAGTTTATGTTCGTCCACCATCCGGTTTTGATAACAATGGTTTGCTGAAACTCTGAAAAGCTTTGTATGGTCTAAAGCAGAGTCCGTTGGCATGGTATAAAACCATATCAAATTATTTGTTGTCAATTGGCTTTGAGAAATGTGTTACCGATAAATGTCTATTCAAAAAAGGTGACGTCATTCCTTTTATGCTGGAATCATGTGTCGAATCTATTGATATGATTTCCAATTTTCATTCATCATGTTTTTGGCTGTCAGCCTGAGGCCAAAAATTGTTGATAAATAATCAAAAGCACAATTAATCACACGAAAACGAAAACGAACACACGTGCTGAAGCAAATCGAACATACAATTTTCTCATGTTTTATCGTTCATATATGACGTAGAGTTACAGATTCGTTTTTCTCCTTTTGGATAAACATAAGCTTCCTAATATTTGCCACCATATATTGTGTTTAAACTTTTCTTCGAAAGCACGTTGGATTGTTGAAAAGGATTTTTGTTCTGATTCAGTCAGATTTTCGAACAACTGTAGTGCTTAAGAATGGACACGAAGCATTGGCTGAAAGATATCTGCACTTTGTCCAGTTATTGGCTTTAACAATTTGACCAAATTCATTCAAGTAGCTCTCTTGATTTTATCGTCTTTTACATTCGATTAGGGCCAAAACGAAAAATGTGATCGAAACTCGTGACATTGTGTTTAATGAATGGGCTATCCGGCGAATATGTTGAAAGCCGTAGATTAAAAGTCATATTGATAATGGTCAACAGAAAAACAACAACGTAGCCTGTGGCACACATCCAATTCCATCCAAGAAGTCTGTTGTGAAATTAATTAAGAAAAATTCTTCAGATGAAACTTTTAAAGCTTATCGTCCTATATCTCTATTATCGGTGCCTGGTAAAATTTTTGAATCAATTATCACTAAACGACTGTCACATTTTCTCCTTTCTCGAAATTTGTTATCAGCTAATCAATTTGGGTTTATTCCACAAAGATCGTCTATTGATGCGATTTCTGTTATTGTCAACAAGATGCAAAAAACTTTTGATGACAAAAAATTTGGTATTCTAATTTCT